GTGTATTTCAGCTAATTTGAAACAAAAAATTTCATCAGAGATTACTGTACATTATTTGAGCTGAACTAATAAAATGAAAAATTTTTAGTTATGTTATTGTATTGTTTTGAATCTAAATAAACACTTGCATACAATAGAAAGCACTATTTTATTTGCATTATAAATAATCATAACAAACAAATTAAAACTTTGCTTTTCATAAGGATTTATAAGGAAATTGGCAAATTATCCAGCATAAAATTATATATATATATATTTTAGTTAAGAACATTATTTTATTACATTAATGAAAATAGTATAGATGAAAAATAATAAAAACAAGCAACAGAAATGGAAAACTGGGATTTTCTAAGTATTACATATAATGTTGCCAGATTTCTATGATTGAATGAAAAAACAGTTAGAATGTTACTACTCCAACTTTCAATTTTACTCTACTTGGATGGAATGGGATAAAGTGAATCACTTTTTAGTTAATAAAAAATATAAACAGAATATTTAAATGAATTTTGATTTAAAAATTATAGTTTTCATATTGACTGTAAATATTTGAAAATTTTAGTTTAATTTAGAATTTAAAATATTTAATAAAAAATCATAGCTTTTTGTGGAGAAGGATATGCACTGATATATAAAGATATGCTTATGAGGAAATCTGGTACTGCCATTAAAAAGCACAGGCAATGAAAAATGAAAATTTAAAAAAAATTGCATACTTTCATGTTTCAATAAAGGACAACTTACAGTTTACCTAAAATAAAGGATTGTCCTCTGAAATAAAGGACACATGTCAACCGAAATTACATACATTATTAGACATCTGTTATATTTTAAATTTATATGAACAGCAAATATTGCACATGTAATATTTTTATAAATTTATTTTTAATGTTACATAAAAAAAAATATTCAAAAAAATTCAGTTAACTGAAATATCAGTGATCTAAAATTTGCTAACAGATCCAGAAGAAAATTACCTAGAATGTTTCATAAACAAATAGAATCAAAATTTAATGAAACTAAATTTAGCTTTATATTATATAGATTTTTCTTTCAAATTAATAAATATAAAATTTAAAAGTACATCAGTTTACTTTCAAAATATTGTGAAATTCTATAATTCTGTACTTAAATATGAACTCCTGAACTATGAAGAGAAAAACATTAGATATGAATTGGGATATTGATTTAAAAACTTATTTAATGGAAAAATATTCACAATATTTTGAAAACAAGTCAAAACAATTAATGACTAAAAATGTTAAAAATAGGTTATAGGAAAATGATGAATTATTATTGGTAACTTTCCAATGATAAGATGATTAATAAATTCTAGATATACAAGGAAAAGCAAGCATAAATAAAACAAGAAAAAGATTTATGAAATTTTTTAATGTGAAAAGTAACATAAAACAAGAAATTTCCTAAATAACATTAGTTTTACACCATCATTATGATAAATTTAGCATTATACATTTATTAAGAACAGATGTACTAAACATCTGATTGAAGTTGTCAATAAATATACATAACTAAAAATACATTTTTTCAGTGTAAAAGGATTTCATATTTTTCTAGAATACAATCATTCAATTTACAGTTAAGAATAGTGATAATAAATAAGTATATACTTACAGTGACTAACTGGTTTAATTACATTAAATCAAACTGGTTAGATGCTTTTTTTTTACATTTAAAACTTATTAGGCTAAACTGCACCAGGAATTTCTAAATCAATAGAAATTATTATATAATAAATAGTTTTGGCAGCAATTATTAAATAAATTTGAAAATCCAGCTTTGATTAAGCACACATTTCCATTAGCTGTAAGAGCTGTAATAATTTATGAGTGTTCAAATCTGAAGTAAAACATGTACCGGTACAATGTTAAATCTAAAATGACAATAGATTCTTGATATAATGCTCATAATATTAAATTAGTTGCATAAAGTTTTTATGTAATTCAATAAACTTATTGAATTTGCTAACTTTTTATTAATCACTTAAAACAACTAAAATTCAATATTACATTTAAAAATTATGAATCACCAAATTACTCGTAAGTTATAATTTTGAAAGAAAGAAAATAAATATTACAAAAACTAACTTTTTAGACTCTTTTATATATATATTTGAAGTGCTTCTAATTCCATTTTCAAAATTAGATAGTTTAATATTATAGCAATGTTTTTGTTGTATTCAAAATTAGAATTTAATAATATTTTAAGTTTAAACGTTGTTGGAAACAGCAAACAATAGCAGGCCAGATGTTGTTCATTTAAAATGGAGGAAAACATTTGTTATCATCATAATATATCTGTTTTTTTTTGCTGCTTATAGGTGTATACGTGTTTATTAGTACTATACATTACACCAGAATAATGAATGTACAGTCTAAATATAAATATTCTTGCAACAAAAAAAAAATTGTGAGATAAAAACTGAAATTTTTCTAAATTACAGAATTCAGTAATAATGTATTTTGCTTTTATTTTAAATATAAAACAGAAAATTATTTTAATATTAAAACTGTTTCAATTTAAATATTTTCTAAATATAATTAATTAAGCAGCACACTAAAATGTAAAATGAAGGAAGATTCAAGCTACAACTGTTGCTATAAAACTTAAAAATGATTTCCAACAGTGGTGCCAAACTTTCAATTTGTGGGCCCAATTGTGCTTAAGTCATAGATAGGCAGCCACAAACATTTTGTACATTCTATATAAATTATACCAAAAATAGGCCTATTTTTATCATTCATAAGTGTTACGTCAAGACTGCATAAACAAGATTTGGCCCAGGAGCCATAGTTTCAGCACTACTGATTTTCATTATAAAAATGGAATTAAAAAATATTTCTTTGATTCTTCGATGTATTTCATATTTCACACAAATTTACTTCTACAGTTTTTATTTTGTTGTTGTAACCTGAATCACATACAGATATTTTTAGTAACTTCCATTTTAGAATCAAAGGAATAAGTCTAAAAAGTTTGTAAAAAACCTCTAAAATGGATGAAATTTAAATCCTTTGCAAAAAAACATTAATATCAAAAATTTTAAATTATAAAATCAATATAAAGGTTGAATTGATAATAAATTTTTATAATGATATTTCAAGTATTTTAAAATTTTCTATAATTTATAGTTACATATAAGTCACTATTTTTTAAATGTATTTTTAATTTTGTTCATCATAAATTAGGTTTTACATAAGCATTGAATCTCATAATATAATCAAAATGGGATGATGATGATGATGATGATGATAATAAGCACAGAACCCAAATGATTAGGAGCTGCAAGTTGAAATTTGGTACACAGTTAGGGTATGCCATGAAAGTGAACACTAAGAAGGGATTTTTGGAAATTCTCTCTGCAGGGGAGAGGGAGAAGGTTATGGATTACCCTGAAAAACTCGGCTTCTACTGTACTATTTTAGTTAGATAGTTAGTTACTTAGTTAGTTATTTTAGATAGTTTTTTTTTGCAGGAAATCAAACATATTTTTAGACTCATCTAAAAATTCTCTAAATAGACTTGGAAGAGGGATGACCTAATTCTTGCACTCAGTGAAAATGTCTTAATCTTTGCTGTTGTTATTTTTTGCTTGAGCAATGCTGGGCTCATCTGCTAGAAATATATAAACTTTAAAACCATAAAGATGCTAAAAGTTGAAAGAAGTCAGTATTATATTGTGATTAAATATTTTTTCTATGATGTTAGGCCATCATTGAGTAGGACTCATCATTGGATTCAGAGGATCTAATGACATGTCCTACTCAAAAAGTTCTTGAAGCTATGCACATGATTTTGAGACATAACACTTTTAAAAACAACCATTCCCAATAAATTGCTGATTCCTTGTATTGTTTAATATCTTTACCAATCTTTGGATTTTTTCTGAATACATAGAGCAGATTGTTATATGGAAATAACTTTACAATGGTATAATTGGTTGTACAGCTTATAAACTGTATAATAAATCAAATACAATGTGAAAAAGCTTATATTATTTAAACAAAATCATATGACCAATGCAATAATTTAAGTTGTCAATACTATATTATCATTTTATAATAGAGAATATACCTACAAATCTGTAATTCTTAACAAAAAATTATAATTTAATTATAATTAGTTATAATATCTTATGAATACATTATATTTTTAACAATGCTTTATATTTTTATTTATCATGAATTATTAATTTAAATATTTTGTATTTTATTATAAATGTTATGTATGTATATCTAAGGATAATGTATGTCGGTAAGTACAGTGAAGAAAGAAATTATCAAAACAACAATATATTTTAAAATAATTAATAGAATGTCTTTAAATATTAAATATTTCCTGTACAATTGTTTTAAAATAGATTTTCATATTAACAGCATAAATAATATAGTACAGGTACTGTGAATAATTAACTGTAATATAATATTTTATGTTGTAGCTCAACTAATAATGAATAATAAATAAATTTTGTACACAAAGTTACATAATACAAATATATTGATCAAATACATTAAATTATAGCACCAGAGCACAGAATAAATCTAAATATCAGAATGCTCTGTATCTAAAATGTATAATCAGTGCTTTATTATTTACAGTTTTACGGATAATAGTAAAATATAGCTGTAAAGCTATTTATAGCCATTTTATAGTAAAAAAAAGCTATATAGTTATAAATAGTAAAAGATGTTGGGTTTTTAAAACATTTATTCATGGCTGTATCTAAAATATATGATTTTATCACAAATATCAATAAATTAATACATGATAGTAAATGAAATATAGTTTATCCATATGAATCATGTGTGGTCATGAATGATGATTAATGACAGAGTAAAGAAATATATTTGTTCATATTGCCAAGAGGTAATCATAAATGGAATAAAAACATATATATACTAAAACAATGAATAAAGATTGTAGGATTAATAATTAATATTTAGTAATTAAATAACTAAAAAATACTAATATACACAAACCTGACAGTGTATCTTCTGCTTCTGAATCAGATTTGACAGGAGAATCACTTTCTGAAAATATTTTAAGAAGATTATATATTTATCATTATAGTATTGTTAATAATTTAATAACAACAATTGAAAATATTTAAATTTTCTGTTTAAGCGGGAATTTATGAAAATGACCTTGAACAGGATATCCCCTTATTTCAGAAATGAGACAGTACCATTACAGACAGGTCATGGCCAAGTTATGAAAGTTCACATTTTTTTAATTTAGTTACGTAAACGAAATTGAATCTGAAAACATCTTTTTAAAGTAAATATTACGAGTACTTATACTCGTTGCGTATAAACTACAACAGTCTGGTATTTCTACAATGCCCATTCAGCTTCTAAAATTGACAGTACTCTTAGTACTTTTAACATAATAATGAAAGTGTAAATAAAATATAATTAATCTAGTACATTCTGTATTTATTCATTTTTAAAACTAAGAAAAATTGAATAAACTGTCTCTTGTTATTATTGTATGACTCAATGTGTTATACAAAACAAGCAATAATCGTTGAGACTGTGCATATGATTTATTGATCGACGCTACATAGTACGTATTTTTATTTTCATATCTTATCGCAAAGGAATCTTTCCGAAACATCCCACTGCGTTAGTCGTAAGATACAAAGACGTTAGCTAAATTAAACGAAACAAATAACGATCGGTTAATTACTTGTGTAAACAAATGGAATGGCTACGCTCATTCCCTGAGTTTACGTGTTTTTATTAAAATCAAATACTGACAAAAAAATAAAAAAAAATACCAGATAATTTTCGATATATTATCGTTACGATTTGAATTGTTTTTTTCGTTTTAAACACAACATTACAACACAAGATTTAACTGTTCTAAATACAATCGTTTTAATACAATATTTAAAACTAAGCAATATGTAAGTTTTATTGGCTGATTTTAAAATACGTTCAACCAATCATTTACGCAGGAACAATCTGTATAGACAAAGCAGACATTTCTCCTCTCTAACGATTCACCCCTCTAACCGACAAATGGTACATTACGTTTAATAAGATGGCAATAGGATAGAGGCCAGATGTTCATTATAAACATTAAAATTCTGCATATACGTATTATTTAAAATACATATAAAATATTTATCTGTTTTAAACGATTTCACAGTAATAACTATTTTTCTTTAATTTTTTACGTTTTGAAGAAACTGCAATATGTGAAAAAATGGAATACATTCAATATGAATAATTATACGTATACATACGCACTGAAAAAGCATTTTCAGTAAATTTTTGAAGATTAATTAAAATTTTCCAATAAACAATACTCTTGTGTTTCATAAAATCAAAATATATTCATAAACATATACAGTTAAAATATGTAACAAAAACATCCTGTAAATACACTGCATTACGTCCACAATTGTTGTTTTTATGATATCCGAAAATGGCGTATTTATTCCTGTAAATCATATTTCCTGCCTAGACCCTTGGAGCAGCGAATGGTACTAGTCCGACGCCATTTTCTGTGACTTTGGTGTCACGATTTGATATATGACTAGTAATTTGAAGATTAGAAAATTTATTTTTACACAGTATAACAAAAAGATTTCAATCGAACTCTCACTTTTATATTTACAGCACTTTTATACGTAATTCATTATATAGAACATATATGTTGCGCGTTGATTAAAGTAATATAAACTATACGTTAACCCTGAAAAAGTACTTAAAATGACATTATTATATCGATATTTCCATTAATTCTAAACATAAAATGCGCTTATAAAAATTCAACAGAAATTTTCCATCTGAATAAACTCGTTATAACAGCAATGCAGTGGCACAACGACCTTCAAATAAGAGCATGCGCAACACTAGTCACTACGAGAAGGAGAAATTTTTAACAAATGATACGATTGGTCAGTTGGAGAATCAGACAGAGAAACAGAATCATAAATTGCTGTTAAAAACCGAATAATGTTTTTAACAGTAAAAACAAATATCACTCTTAAATTAAATAAAATAGATATCTAACTGCACCTTTTCTTAAATACAAAGTTGGTACAGAGAACCTATTGAGCTTCTTTTTTAGGGTGCTAGTGAAGCACATATCTTCGAAGTGCTTTGGACATAGTCTGTACGAAGAATTTAATTTGGATGCACTCTGGCTATCCAGTTCAGGACTTTTTATAACGTCTAACCACTTCTTTAATCTGTTTAAATTAAAAGAAACTGAATATAAGTAACATTAAATTTTTTATACTTATGTATATAAGTAATGTTACATTAATGTATAAGTTTTTTGAAGATGTAAAATATTATATTTATGATTTAGTAAAAAGATAATGTACAATATATGCGTAAATAAGTTATTATTTAAATGTATGCATGCAGTATATATATCTATATACTGTATACATATACAGCATAATTACATAATCTTATGTATTAGTGTCTATATATAGGCTTTACATATAAGTTATCGTAATTAAAATTAAAAACAAGTTTATGAATTTAACGTTATCAAACATTTAGAGAAATAGCTGCCACGTCATCCCGTCTCAGCTGGAATTAGGATATGTCATATATGCAAAAAAAATCTTTTTACTATTTAATGTCGTTAAAAATGACACCGTTACTTCATAAAACACATTTTATTTTTTCTTCACTTACAAAAGAAAAGAAAACAACATTGATCGAATGCTTAGTCTCTTATCAAATAATAAATGTATTTAATGCTTACCTTTCGGGATTTTTAGGGAAACGGAATAAACATTCACAATCCCCCCTTTTGGTTTTACATAAAAAGCATCTCCTATAGGCCATGTCATTAAAACTAACGTATGATCGCGCTTAATATCTTGGATGCACATACAGATCTATGTGAGAGGGCGCTGCGTAATGACGTAACGAAACACATGTACTGTACGTTCTGGAAATCGTTGTTGTACACATTTTCTCGTTTTCTCCGAAAGCTGTTTGTTCGATTTATAAGAAATATNTTAACTTATATTTATATTCCATCTTTTTAATATTTCATGTGATATATTTTACAGTAATATAAAATTATATATTGTTCATATTATCACAAATAGCAAGAAAGTATAAATAATATGTACTGTATTATCAGTATAAATTTATGCATCTAAATCAGTGATTCCCAACTGGTGTGTCATGAAGCCATTTGAAGTATGCCACAAGATAAAATGTGTTGCTGTAATTTTATCTAAAATTTTTAAAAAATATATATTAACTGTATGTATAATCGACTACATTTCAGAAGTTTGTACCAGTAAACTGTCATAGAAAAAGTATTAGAGAAAGCTCCATGACCAACCTATTGGCCAGTTCAGTAATACTGTATTTAATAATAAAATGTGCTGAAATGTTTGCATGATTGTTTAACTGTGCCATAGGTCCAAAAAGATTAGAAATATTTAATATACATAATTACTAGACAGAACAAAGGAAATGCAAATTTTTATTTGCAGTGTACTGATAATTGAGATGTAGTGATTAGGTTCTTTCCATAGCTAGATTAGATCTCTATCCTTTATGTAGCTTTGTTGAACATTTCAACTACATTTTGCTTTTTAAATATTTTCATGGTTTTTTTCATTCCAACAGAATTTTTAAGGTTTCAATTCATCCCACTTACAGCATGTCTTGCTTTACCTCCCCCTAGCATGTCTTTTTCAATAAAGTGTTTTATAAATGTACTGTTTCAATATTAATCCTATAGACAAATATTTAGTTTCCAATTTTATATATTTTAAAAGATATATTATCAGCTTCTGTATTGTGGTTGAGCCTCAGTATCTGGTTTTAATGTAATTTAGAATTTTCATTTTCTTTGTTGTATTATTATTCAATTTTTAAAATTTTGTTTAATATTGTTGTTTTTTACTATATTACTTACAGGTTTCTTTGATTTGCTACATGTGAGAGGTGGTCATCTTAAGTCCATCTGAACCTAGCTTATTGTATTCAAAAATAAATAAATAAGCAAAACAAAACTTCAACTTCAGAATTTAAATGTCTGATATAATTTGTGTATTTCAGCTAATTTGAAACAAAAAATTTCATCAGAGATTACTGTACATTATTTGAGCTGAACTAATAAAATGAAAAATTTTTAGTTATGTTATTGTATTGTTTTGAATCTAAATAAACACTTGCATACAATAGAAAGCACTATTTTATTTGCATTATAAATAATCATAACAAACAAATTAAAACTTTGCTTTTCATAAGGATTTATAAGGAAATTGGCAAATTATCCAGCATAAAATTATATATATATATATTTTAGTTAAGAACATTATTTTATTACATTAATGAAAATAGTATAGATGAAAAATAATAAAAACAAGCAACAGAAATGGAAAACTGGGATTTTCTAAGTATTACATATAATGTTGCCAGATTTCTATGATTGAATGAAAAAACAGTTAGAATGTTACTACTCCAACTTTCAATTTTACTCTACTTGGATGGAATGGGATAAAGTGAATCACTTTTTAGTTAATAAAAAATATAAACAGAATATTTAAATGAATTTTGATTTAAAAATTATAGTTTTCATATTGACTGTAAATATTTGAAAATTTTAGAATTTAAAATATTTAATAAAAAATCATAGCTTTTTGTGCAGAAGGATATGCACTGATATATAAAGATATGCTTATGAGGAAATCTGGTACTGCCATTAAAAAGCACAGGCAATGAAAAATGAAAATTTAAAAAAAATTGCATACTTTCATGTTTCAATAAAGGACAACTTACAGTTTACCTAAAATAAAGGATTGTCCTCTGAAATAAAGGACACATGTCAACCGAAATTACATACATTATTAGACATCTGTTATATTTTAAATTTATATGAACAGCAAATATTGCACATGTAATATTTTTATAAATTTATTTTTAATGTTACATAAAAAAAAATATTCAAAAAAATTCAGTTAACTGAAATATCAGTGATCTAAAATTTGCTAACAGATCCAGAAGAAAATTACCTAGAATGTTTCATAAACAAATAG